CGCGGCTCGGATAGCTCAGTGGTAATATGTCTGACTGTGATTCTGGGTGACACGGGATCGAATCCGTCAGGGAGCACCAGTTCCCTCAGGATTACAGGTACACCTTGTTGACAAGTGCAAAGTAGCATGAAACCCGGGTTCAGGGTTTCCTGTCGACTACCTCCAAACACCATCTAATTTAACTATGTAATATAGATCTCTATCTCTACCAATTATCATTTTCTGAGAATCGAATGGGGGGAGGTTCCTAATTTCCGATGTGCAACTGTAGTAAATAGAACACGGGTGGATACAATCGAATGTATTCAACGCCAAATTACAGGACTTATTAATAGAATCTAACAATCATACAGTAAATGCTTAATTTGCAAAATGTCCATCAATTGTCTCAAAATGACTCAGACTTCATTGTTCTTGCATTTTCATACAAATTGCATTCTGTTTCCATTCTTTACTGTTCGATCCTCTTATCTCTCTGCTTCCCGATCTTCTGTTCACGACTAACATCATATACTACTTATGTTAATATAAGTAGCACACACCATACAACAATCCTTGTAGTTACAACAACAATTTACACTATATTTATAAGAATACCAATTTATTAGTATTCATAACTTAACAAAGAAGAATCCATTGAACTTATTATATTCTATGAAGATTGTTTTAAAGAAAGATTTATCCAGTAAATAGTTCTCAAATTACTTTTCATACCTACATACATACCTACATACATACTACTGAAATTACATTTGAAATGATCCCTTCATATAATGTATCATGAATAGTGAAACAAATCAGTCAAATATATCATAGTTTATGTCATTCTGACAATATGAAATTGACAAATTGAAAGGCGCATATTTTTTATTTATTTAAAAACTTAAATATTATTTCTCATGATCTTCATTATTGTTACTAAGATACAATTAGATTTCATCCAAGAACAAAAGAAAAGAAAAAGAAAAGAAAATGAAAAGAGGAAAGTTTATTGATTCATTTAAACAATATCGATTGATCAACTAGAAAAAAAGAAAAAAACAATGACAGTGATTACATCATATTTGTATTGACAATTTTAATCTGATAATCTTGAATTTTCAAAATTAGAAATTTACTCAAAGATGGATAGTGACTAGTAATGTGTTATATCTTGAATGTTGATTTCTTGATATACCGCGTATAACAGTACACTAGAATACCAAAACCCTTCCAAGTCTCAATAAGAAGACAGAAGACTAATGAAAGGAATAATATTACAAACAGTGTCAATCATATTACAAAATTGCCAGGTATTTATAGTTTTTAGTGAGAACGAAATCATCATTACAATCCTCCAATCCGTGTACAGGGGGGCTATTAGCATTATACAATCGGGAAGCTACACGTAGGAATTCTAGAATATTCTCCCGAAAGGTGATTGGACGGAAGGTCTTCGGCTCCTTCTGAGCCTCTTACAGCTTCCTCAAGTTCACCGGTGGTCCGTCGTCACATAATGGAATCTAGAACACACGTTTCGTCGTATTTAGGATTTGTCAGCTGGATATACCTATATCTTAGAGGTCATGTTCATTGTGGGATTCGAACTCAATACCATCTGTTTCAAACACTATCACGTTATTCACTTAGCTAATGAATCCGATATCTTTGCTTAAAATCCTTGTGATTTATGTCGCTATCGAAGCAATCCTCATAGGATCCACATATGTCAACAAGAAACTGATCAATTTCAGTTCTAAATAACAATGAGAAGATATAAGTGAATTTAATAAGTTTACTGTTTATCAGTAACATACAGAATAGAAGTTGTTATTGTTTAGACTAGAGGATAGTTATAGAAAAAAACAAGAAAGGGTGAGACTATAATTTATGGATGAATTCTGAGAGATTTGAATTGATTTTAGGAAAATTCACTTACTTACTAAGGTCAAAAGAGGGTTATAAATTAGTATGAATATTTTGAGTTAGAAGTAAGGAGTCTTCTTTTCGGAAATTTAAAACAATTAGTCTTGATCCCTCCCAAAAACAAATGCGGACGAACTGGAAAGAAGGATACTTCATCATGATATCAAAGAAAGGAGATCTGAGTAAATGTGTGAACTATAGAGGAATCACACTACTATCGGTACCAGGAAAAGTTTCCGACAATGTTGCTGAACCGGATGAAATATTCGGTAAACGCCCAATTTCGAGATCAACAGGCTGGACTCCGTAAGGATCGGTCGTGCACAGACCAAATCGCAACACAACGGATGATGGTTGAACAATCAATTGAATGGAAATCGTCACTGTACATCAGTTCGAGTTGCCATACCACTTGACAATAAGAGTAGGCGGACCTTATGGAATCTTCTTCGACACTGGTGTACCTGAGAAGATCGTCAACATCATACGTAATTCATACGACGGACAACAGCGCAAAGCGGTAAATAGAGGACAGCTGACAGACGCATTCCAATTGAGGACCAGAGTCACACAACGCTGCTTACTCTCTCTCTCTCTTCCTCTATCTTCTGGTGGTTGACTGGATTATGAAGACCTCGACATCAAACGGGAAGCACGGAATAAAATGAACAGCTCGGAATCAATTAGAAGATTAGGACTTCTCAGATGACATGACCCTTCTATCTCATACACACGAACAAACGCAGATCAAAACAACTAGTGTAGCAGTAGCCTCTGCATCAATAGATCTCAACATACACAAAGGAAAATCCAAGATCCTCAAATAAAACACAGATAACACCAATCAAACCAGTAACACTTGATGGCAAAACTCTGGAAGATGTGCAGTCCTTCATGTACCTGAACAGCATCACCGATGAAGAAAGAGGATCTGATGCAAACGTAAAGGCAAGGATTGGAAAAACAAGAACACCATTCCTACAGTTGAAGAAAATATGGAACTCAAAACAACTGTCTATCGACCAATATCAAAGTGAGAATCTCTGATACGAATATCATGATAGTTGTGTTGTACGGAGCTGAAACTTGAAGAACTACAACAATCAACATCAAAACAGTACAAGTATTTATGAACAATTGTCTACGCAAGATACTCAATGTCCGTTGACCGTATACCATCAACAACACCCTATTGTGGGAGAGAACGAACCAACTTCGAGCTGAACAGGAAATTAAGAAGAGACGTTGGAAATGGATAGTACATACATTACGCAAATCATCAAACTGCATCACGAGGCAAGCCCTAACTTGGAATCCTGAAGGGAAACAGAGAAAAGGAAGACCAAATAACACATTACGTCGAGAATTAGAAGCATATATGAAAAGGATGAATAGCAACTGGAAAGTCTTCCCAGTACAGGCTTGGACGGAGAGTGCTTTTGGGCGGTCTACTCTCCTCCACCATGGGTAACAGACGTAAGTGACCCCACCCAAAAAGGACATAAAAATATTAAACTAGTAGACATATCATCATGGATAAACGTTTTATTGTTCCTGTTATTGATATTGGGGATCAAACTTTTTATCAGTCTTTGTTGGTGTATGTGATTCCTGTGTTCATTGTCTGGATATGAGCATTTCATCATAAGTTTTATAGAAAAGACGGATCGCGGTTAACAGTGGAATACAGGAAGCACGTCTTTTGCTGTCTAGGACTGATCAGCAGGATGTGTATGCATCCCAGTGGTAATATCCACACTGGTACTCGAACCACATGTCTTCAGCTTTAAATATCTAACGAGTTTTTCACTAAGCCATTAAGCTCAGATAGCTATGAACTTAATCAACAAGTATAAAGTAATATGTGTGTAGGGACTTTGGGCTGCTTTCACCAAATTCTCTTCCTGAATCACCTTACTAGCCATAATCCATCTATTCTATTGAAATGGCTAGTTATTTATATGTTTAAAGTAATATGATGGACAGAAGCTTAACCTGATTGATTAATTTTTATGACCTCCACTCCTTATTCATCATTATTGACTTTCTGATAAGTAACCCCTATATATAACAACTGTTTCTCTACGTATCTAGTGTAGATTCTATTCACATTACTACCTCATAGAGATACTAAAAAAAAGTATCAAGATTTTCGTGTTAACATTCCTCAGATTGTCATCATATAACATACATTGCTTAATACAACTATTTATGAGGCAATAAACACTCAAACGTAAACTGTTCTGTTCTCAAATGAACTAGGTTCATTGGTAAAACTATTCTGATTTTTAAAATGGAAAATCATCATTTAAACTTAAGTTATATCATATATTTGTAGCAACCTACTTTTATGAAAAGAAAGCGATTGGTATAATGGAAACAATTATTATTATTATAATCAATTGTATCAGTGATTGTTTTACTAAGAACAGACATTCTCCCGTTGACTGTAATCTTGCACAGACTTGCGTACGCTTAGTAGTCCCGCTTGTAAACTTTGGCACGATCTCGGTATTATTTCGATACTACGAAATTGCCAACAAATACATCGTATTACAACTATCAACTACCTTCTGGTTTTTGACCCACAGAGGGATCCAACCTAATAACTGGCACGTAATCTTTCTGTAGTGGTGATCATAGTCAATCGCGATTCGACGTTACACTACATATTTAACATCATATTCATTTTCCTGTAAAAAAAATCAAATAATTTCTAGATCAGAAGGGGTTTTGTGGATATTCTAGTAATTTTAATAGTTGAGATCATAAATCAATTGAAGCTAGATCACCATCGAAAACCTGGAATCACCGGATGGGCGTTTCATTCTATTGTGAGACTCCCTTACAGTGTTCATCCACGATCACGCCTCGTAAGATTCAAACCCAGGACATATTGATCTCGTACAAGAACGCTTAATCACTAGACCACTGATCTCAACTATTAAAATTTCTAAATCATTTTCTCTCTTTCTCAAGATCAACAATAAGCAGAAATTAGTTGCCATGGTTATTATAAACCATTTTATCTCCATGTATTTAATTGATTACACTTTATTTATTTATTTGTGTACATGTAAATTCATTATTTCAAGGAACTGGTCTAATGAGAATTCTTCTTGATGTTCATCCATTAATAAGATGTGGTCCAGAACCAATAATTACAACATCATTATTACAATTAAAACGAATGTATGAACGTAATCCTAAACAACTTTATGCTGCTGGAATTTATCCAAATGTATATAATCGTGCTATAGCTGCATATTTTAGTGAAATTATAATTAATATGGGTCAATCAGCTAAATATTTATGTCATAAACAACCATTTACATTTTATTATTTAAATTATTTAAATGAAATATTTATCAATGCAAAATTTATTCATATAGTACGTGATGGTCGAGCTGTAATTGCTTCTTCAATTAAGTAAGTCAATGAAATAATAATTAATGAATAATAAGTTTGATTTTCTCTGGTTAGCGTTTTTTTTTAGCGAGTTAGTTTTCTACGGGATGAGGACGCTAATCCCATGCCCAACCCTCCTCCTTTATCCGGGCTTAGGACCGGCAGTAGCCCTCGGAGGGACTCCAGGCGGAGTTAATCAATAATAAGTTTATAACTGTTCTATTCCGTCCGATAAGAATTATGAATGGTAACATTTGAGAACTATTTATGGGCTAATATGATATATATATATATATATATATATATATATATATATATATATTTTTTTCTAATAGTTGAGATCATGAGTTAATTGAAGCTGGATCACCATGGATCGCAATCGCAACAACAAATGCAGGAGAAGACGAATAGTGTAGCAGAAGCCTCAGAAACAGTAGGTCTCAATATATACAAAGGGAAAAGTAAGATTCTCCGATACAACACAGCATGCACCAATTCAGTCACAATTGACGGAGAAGATTTGGAAGATGTAAAAACATTTACATATTTGGGAAGCATCATTGATGAACAGGGTGGTGGATCTGATGTAAATGTGAAGGCGTGGATCGGCAAAGCAAGAGCAGTATATTTACAACTGAGGAACATCTGGAACTCAAAACAACTGTCAACCAACACCAAGGTCAGGATTTTCAACACAAATGTCAAGACAGTTCTACTGTATGGGGCGGAAACCTGGAGAACTACGAAAGCAATCATCCAGAAAATACAGGTGTTTATTAACAGCCGTCTACGCAAAATACTTCAGATCCGTTGGCCGGACACTATTAGTAACAACCTACTGTAGAAGAGAACAAACCAGATCCCAGTGGAGGAAGAAATCAGGAAGAAGCGCTGGAAGTGGATAGGACACACATTGAGGAAAGCACCCAACTGCGTCACAAGACAAGCCCTCACATGGAATCCTCAAGGCCAAAAGAAAAGAGGAAGACCAAAGAACACATTACACCGAGAAATGGAGATAGACATGATAAGAATGAACAAGAATTGGATGGAACTAGAAAAGAAGGCCCAGGACAGAGTGGGTTGGAGAATGCTGATCATTGGCCTATGCTCCATTAGGAGTAACAGGCGTAAGTATGTAAGTAAGTAAGGATCACCATGGAAAACCTGAAATACTAGACGGCCGTTTTGTCTTATTGTGGAACTCTTCAACAGTACGCATCCATGACCTCGCCTCGCGAGATTCGAACCCAGGACCTATTGGTTTCGCTCGCGAACGCTTCACCTCTAGACCACTGAGCCGGCATCCCATGGTGTTAATTTCTAACTTCAACTAATCCACGAAACTGTGCGACACATTCACTGATGTCTTCAGTGAGTTATTATCTCACTATTTTCATCGTATTATTGTTAAGCAACTGTTATAGCCCAAAGCCGCCAATCAGAAGCAGCGAATTATCGATCGGACCAAGGACGAGTAAAACAAGTGCAAGCAGCCTAGAATTCTGATTGGTCCTGCTTTCCACCTAGCCCAGATAGTTAAGTCCAGAACACCAATCTCAGCCTCTGCAATATGAATGCTAATAATTCAAACATACTGAGTTTATATACCAATCAAACAGACCACAACGTAGCATAAAATAAAAAATAACATTTGTACAAAATCTGGTCAAATGTGGTTGTGAATATGGGAGATAATAATTAATACACTGGGCATAACTCAGGAACAGTAAGTCGTATAACAGTAGTCTATGGGTTAAAATAAAGCTTATAATAAGAGGAACATGAATATGAATAGTTTAGTTATTTAACAATTATACGATAAAAATATACGTTTAGTATTGGTCCATAAAAGGATCCCAAAGTTACCATTCATTATGTTTATCGGGACCTAACAGTAAATAAACCATTCATATCCGTGTTCCTCTTATCACAAGTTTTATTTTGACCCATAGACTACTGTTATACGACCTACTGTTCCTGAGTTATACCCAGTCTATTAATTACAGTCTCCCACCCTCACAGCAACTTTTGGCTAAATCTTGTACAAATGTTGTTTCCTATTTGATGGTACGATGTGGTCTGTTTAGTTTGTATCTAAACCCAGTATGCTTGAAATATATGATTCACATGGAGGAGGTTGAGATTGGTGTTCTGAACTTTAACAGGCAGGGCTAGGCAGGAACAAGAACTAATAAAGCCTTTAGACTGTTCGTACGGCTTTTATGTGCCATTAGTCCGCTCGATAATTCATTGTTCTCTAGTTGACGGTATCATTACGTGATATATTGATAGCGATACAATGCCACAAATTTTAACAGTAACATGGTAGATGATCTGTTAAGTCGTCTCTCTTTTTTGTTCAAGTTCGGTTTCATTTTGTTGACACTTGTTAATAGCTACAAACATACATTACCGGATTGCTTACTACTCAAAATATTAAGAATAGTTTAGTGTTGCTATAATTTTCTATGCTATATAGTTCACTTGTGAAGTTTCGTTTACTTAGTTAGTAATTATCATCAGAACAAACCTGAAATGGTTGTGGTCTGTTAGAAATCCTTCAATACTAATTAATAGCACATTCTGTCGACATGAAATTTGTGATATCACTGTTTAAATATGTTGAGTCGGCTTCCGGAGAACTTCAACGGAGCCTCCAGAGGCCCAAAAGGAGCCGAAGGGTCCTAGCCAATCAGAGTATGATGGAACGTTCTAGAATTCCAACGTGGCGTGCTACTATTGGTCGGTAGCATAATATGTCGTTAACGGATTGACTGAAAAATGATGTTGATTTAACAGACGCCAACATCTATAAATACCTATGATTTTCTGTACAAAAATGAACCTTGGGATAAAGTATTTTCTCTCATACTTGTGTCTTCTTTCTGGTGTTCAAGTCGCCGTGTAGTTCTAGACTGTGGGTTATCAGAATAGCTTAGGAAAACGAATGTAGCGTTCGATCGACAAGACTTATTAAAATACTTATTGAAATTTCTTTCCCCCTCTAAAGTTTTAAGTGTTTGTCAATCTTCCTATCAACTGATAGATGAAATTAGTAATTTGAGGGGTTATTATTATTATTAATTGCTTTATTCAATATAACATGTTTGGTAAAATATAGAATTCTCAACACAAAGTATTTCAACAAGTTTCCATTTCTTAGTTACTAGTCAATCCTGACGATAAATATTAAGTGGTCGCCAGTTAAAAGTTAGCAGTCCAGTCAATCGACATCTAAATAATGTACATGCTTTTCGCAACATTTTGCCAGCAACCAAGATATTTCTGATTGGGCATCTTGTAGCTTGTAAAACAAAAGGTTGTACACTTTTCAGAAACGCACTTGAATAGGTTGTGCGATTAATAGCTATAATGATGTATCCTGCGGGCAGGATCGTGGATGCGCACTGCTGAGGAGTCCCATGCTAGAACGAAACGGTCGTCCAGTGCTTCCAGGTGTTATGTGGTGATTTAACCTTAATTGACTTATGAATTCAACTATAAAAACAAACAAAACTAGATAGCTTTTTGAAATATCTAAATAACAGGAACAGGTAGCCCAGACGTTCTAATTTTTCCTGATTTTATTTATGTTGCTATATCAAGAATTCGACATCAATGCATGAAGTCACTAACTTCTAGTCTAAGCTATGTTGGTAGATGCAGACTACTTGGTTGGGGTCTGCGCGACTATTGTGACCAATGATTGGAGACTCTTGGTGACATGGCTCAGAATCGATCACAATGGCGTCGGTGTATACACTCTCTGTCTTCCTTTAAACCATGAGATTAAAATCGCTTCATATCTTTATTTCTACGAACCAATTATTTCTTCCTGTATTATATCCTTATACACAATCTTTCTTTTATATATTACCACCATTGAATTAACTACTTCCATGAATCCGATGTTCATCTTGTTGTGCTAATGAGACATGGCAACTTGGACCGATGTACAAATGTGCCTGGTCCTACGTTGTAGCTGACTGACTGAAGAATTCGACGTGTTTTTTTTTCTCTTATGTCGCTACAATTATTCACATATATTAATACAAACAGTGAAGTCTGATAACTAACTGACGTTTCCACAAATAAAACTAAGAGTTCGAACACTTTGAAATACATTCTGGTGATTTCAACTAGGAGAATAACAAAATGTTTAGTATTAAATTATTCGATTTAGAGAACTGGATACAATCGAAATTCTTCACTTGAATTATCCGACTTTCACTACTATCAAAACAATAATAAGAATAATAATGTTATGTATGAATATTTGTTTAAGTAGACTAAAGTATTCTCAATGTGTCAAGATTCAATCACTACCAATTGAGATTAAATAGACAGAAGTATATGTAATTAATTATTGATTATCTGGTAAATAACTCATTACCAAACTATACAGATGACAGCTTTGATTCACTAATTAAAGTATTCAGTCAGTTTATCAGGTGTCCTACTGATTGATAACTACTTACTTTGAATACAGTTCTTGTTTCTATGTGTAATCAGCTCAGTCAGTCGAGTATTTTATCCAACACTTGTGGTGAATCACAAAATATTACTAGTTATGTCGGAAACATCTTATCACAAACAAGTTTACACATTGTGTATAGAATTTATTAAAGTATTGAACTATGACTTATAAGTAGTTATGTAAGTAGTTTATTACAATTAGTCAATCACGTACTGTAATTACAGATTTCATGATTATCAACTATCACTAGAAGTAACTCCTAACTAACCAAGATTGTCATAGGAACACATATAATGGTTACAGGCCGTTCAGTAGATCATGATACTCATCTTTCATTCATGATAAATGGAGAGAATCACCAGAAATCAGTAAATCTGACATGAAGTAAACTTTCATTCTTTGTAACTTATCTTAAACTGTGAGTTAAAAATATTGATAATATCAAACAACCAACCATGTTTGATTGTTGAACACAACCAAATCATCCAGCTCAGAGAATGAAACTCCATCAAAATCATCCAATTGAGTTACAAATCTTCTCCACCATCTCAAAATCATATGAGTGTAGTACTCTTCTCGTTGTTCGAAAATAGGAGCATTTCGCCAAAAGACAGGCTTCCATTCAAGAACAACTGTATTTTCTCCACGAATGTCTTCGTCAGTATGTTCTACCAACAAGTGTAAGATACAGACACGACCAAACCATCCAGCTCACAGAACAAAACTCCATTAAAATTGTTGAACAAAAAATATACCCATTTTCTCAAGTTTGAAACTTCATTATCCTATCAACAGGTTACTCTATAAGATGGGAAATATGTATTACCCTCATTTTGTATAACATTTCACGTAGATTAAATATCTTCACTTTTCTACCAATTTCAAATCCGATCATAGTTGTATCTGAAACAAATCCTTCTACACAAAAAAACTTTATATCTGGTTTCCTAAAATATCTCTCTCTCTCTCAATGATAATCGATTGAGTACCGGGTTCAGTTGAGAAGATATACAAAGTGAGTTGGTATCTTATATATTTAAAGTTGGATCGAATTGGGACGAAATACTTTCTATTAGTGTCTTAACTGAAACATTTCCACTGTTAGTATTGAACAATATAATCTGTACTACTAATAACATAATGATAATACTATTCCTATTCACATAAATGTATCTGCCTCTTTTGTTTATGATGTTCATTTCAATAATAATAATGATAATAATAACCCTTATTATTAGGCGTGCAGTTAATCCAATCTATGTTTCGGATAAACCATATTTGGCATTTGAATATTGGGAAGTTATAACGAAAAAAATGTTAGAAGATTGTATACAAATTGGTTCATCACGTTGTTTAACTATACGTTATGAAGATTTAATATTGAACACATTGGAAGAAACTAAGAAAGTTTTCAGTATGTCCTCTTTTTTTTACTTTTAATATATAAACATGAACATATATATATTGGATTTTCTGTTCTAGACAACTAGACAACCAAATAAATAAGCCGCTATTCTGAATAGTTAATGTATATTCAATTGGTATTGTTTACTTGAATCTTTCCATTGATGTATAGGACTGTAATTGATCAGTTGATCTCTTATAGGCATACGTACATACTGTGAGTATTACCTCAATATTGCCTTAATTCACAAGCATTATAAGCAAAGATGGATAGTGGTTAGCAATGGAATTAAGATAATATCGAGGCAATACACACAGTATACACATATACCAATAAGAGACTGATCAATTTCAGTCCTAAACATCAATGAGAATATTGAAGTAAACAATACCAAGGGAATTTAAACTTCACCCCATTGCACAATGAATGGCTATAAGGACTTAGTAGCTAAGTGGATAACGTGATGACATTTGAAGCAAAAGTTACTGAGTTCAAGTTACAGAGTGAACATCAACTCTGAGATACAGGTGAATCCAAACAATTTCTAACATGTTTTACCATTAAAAATTGATTTCTCAAAGTTCTTTTTCAAAACTAACGCTGATAAATTTCAAAAAAATCGTGAGTGAAACAAATTTCATGCTTAACACTTGGTGATAATTACGTCATTACAGAAATTAATTTAAGTTGGACATGTAACTACTGAATCCCAATTCAGTAATATGTTTACTGTAAGACCTAAAGTTATTAACCTTCATCAGATATAGAGTTTGTCGACGCCCACTATTGTCAGACTTTGAACTAGGTCAAAACATTTCTTTGATACTCCCTGAATTTTACAAGCATTTACAAGATTCGATATACTGACTTTAAAAACAATACCTTTTAGCTCCATTTGGATTACAATGATTTAAGCTTACTGTATACTGCTTATTTAAATGATAATCAAATGCAACCCTAAGGAAAGTTAAATTAAAATTGGATTAATAATTATATTTGATGGTTCACTTGATGTTAGGTTGCTGAATGTATTTAGAAGGAAACCATTCATCTAAGGTTCACGCTTGCTGGTACTCGGTAACAAGGTATACCTGTAATCTAGACGGCACTGATACTCTTTATAGGATTTTAAAATCGTAACCCAGCTTCACAATCTGAAGTGTTACCACTTAGCTATTCGGGCGATAAATAACCTTCTTTAGGACTGAGAGGCTTACAATTAATCCTCCAGTGACCAATGTGATATTTGTCTAGTCATTTAGTGCTGATCGAATCCTATCGATCAGGTTGCAATATGTTCACTAGTATAGGTGGCATGATATTACGTGTACTACATCGAGGTGCTAGATGGTTGGAAGTAGTCAGTAAGAACTCCTGAGACTAGGTTTCATGTGAGTCAATGTTCATCAGAAAGGCGTGCCAGGAATCTTATCTGTATGGGACGAAAGAAATCCAGGACAATGACATAGTCACTGGCTAGACACTTAATATAATCGAAGTTACCGTCCCGTCTAAATGATTACAGCATTAATATTATCTAATAATTTAGTCCACTACATCAGTAATAGATTCAAGTACGTTTCTCTCTACACAAGCTTCTTTCAAATTCTTTATTCCATTTCCACTCTTTTATATGTCTAGGATTTCTGAATTTACCTTGGGATCCGATAATTTTAAAACACGAAACTGTTATTCACAAGATTTCTAGCCTAAGTCCGTAAGTGAATAGTTTCTTGTTTTCATAAAACAATGTTAGCAATAACTAGATTTTATAACTATGCTCAAAACAATTCATCTGTTACTACGATGGTATATTGACTTTATTTCTTCCATAAGTTGGTAAAAGTCAAACGAGCTTTTCGAATCTGTGCTGAGATTTCGTCAGACACCAACCCATTAAGGTTTATCAGACTTCCAAAATAAGTGAAATTGTACTGGAAAGCAGTGTCATTCTAATATGAAATTCTTCAGCACTACTCAACCACAACTGTCCTCCTGACAGGAATCGAACCCAGAACCTTTAAGCTTAGTGACAAACGATGAGCTGTCAGAACGATTTGGTTGGTATCTAATGGTGCTCACTTCAAATTCTAACTAATTCATGATATAGCAAGACGATCATCCAACGCCACTGATAATAAACATTTCACTTCCAATATGTCTGAAATCTACAAGTTATTAACATTAATACACCAAACAATTAACAACCAAGAAATCCTGAGCCTAAGACACATTTTTCTATTGTCTTTAGTAATACTCTGAAGAAGAAAATATCAAGTGAATTCCCAGATTTACATTGTACTTCCTTCAAGTTAAAGTTTAGAGAATCGATTTTATGTAGCAGAAATACGTAAAACCCACGTACCTCTTTGATTAGCTTCAGAAATTAATTATTAAATAAGATACATTTCTATCAGTTGTAATTCTAGATGACTTTTCATCACCTTGTATGAATTTGTAAGATATTTTGTGAAGGTTAAAGAATATGAAGTTTACTGGTTCGATTTTTGACAAGGTAAATCTGTTATATCCTGATGAGAATAATGAATGGTAACTGTTGGAATCTATTTCACAACTAATACTATACGTATATTTTTATTGTATAATTGTTACATAACTAAACTATTCATATTCATGTCCCTCTTATTATGAGCTGCATTTCGACCTATGAACTATTATTATACGATTTACCATTCTTGAGTTATACTCAGTCTATCAATTACTACCTCTCACATTCACAGACACTTTTGGCTAAATCTTATACAAATGTTATTTTCTATTTGATGGTAAGATGTGGTCTGTTTGGTTTGTATCTAAACCCAGTATGTTTCAAATACATGCTTCATATGGAGGAGGCTGAGATTGATGTTCTGAACTCTAACAGGCAGGTCTAGGCAGGAAGCAGGACCGATAAGGACTTTAGACTGCTCGTATGGATTTTATAAGTCATTGATCCGGTGGATAAATCATTGCTCTCTAATTAACGGTATCATTGCGTTATACATTGATAAGGGCACAAATCCACAAATTATAACAAAATCATTCCACCTGTAGATAAATAAATAGATAGATGGTAATTATTAAAAACACAATATTTCCATGTTTTCTCGTTATCTTCACAACGATTATCAAACTAACATCGGATCATAACAGGAACTTTATTACACTTAACTATTTATGATCATCAAATAAAACAATATGGATTTCTTCTGTTTTCTACAAATATCTAACTTGCAATCATTTACATTCTTATCCTTCTTTTTTTTTTAAAACAAAAACCTATCAAATATATATATTTAATCGCCTTGACAACAACCTAAAAAGATATGAAGCAAGTTCAAAACAAGTAATCAATAAAATTCACCGAAATTCTTTATTATCATGGTCATATAATCAATCAATTCTACCAAGAGAATTAATTGAAAAGGTACATTTACAAAGTAAATTATTACATCGATTAGGTTATTCACAACTTGGTTTTCCACCGAATTATTCTTTATTAAAACCATTTGAACAAAATATATTAAAATAATGATCTGGGATACATATTGTTTTGTTTGTTTTTTTCATTCTATGTTTATTCGAATGATAAAATATTGAAATAAACTATACAATAAAGTATTTTTAACTTTTGAGATTTATATTACATGAGTACACAATGAAATTAATTATTATTATTCGAAGGGGTTTTGTGGAAAGTTTAGTAGTTGAGTCAATTGAAGCTAGACCACCATGGAAAACCTGGAATCACTGGAGGGCCGTTTCGCTCGCATGCGAGACTGATAGGTCCTGAGTTTGAATCTCGCGGGGGGCTGGATCGTGGGGGGGGGGGGCATTGCTGAGCAGTCCCATACTAGGACGAAACGACCGTCCAGTGATTCCAGGTTTTTCATGGTGGTCTAGCTTTAATTGATTCATGATTTCAACTATTGAAACTAATTATGTTAGATAGTTGGAAGTAAACGATAGAGAATCTGATCACCATACTGGATAATCGTTATTCTAGCTGAATAAGAGAAAAATTACTATTTACAATTGATTGATCACTAGGTGGTGATGAATGTCATGTGTATCAGGTCTTTCTGAGTGCAGATCGAATCCTATCGAAAGAGTTGAAATGTGGCATGAGATCGAATCCGTCAGGGGGTATGAATTCGTTCAAGATTACAGGCACACCTTGCTGACGAATGCTAAGTAGCACGAAACCTAGGTTCAAGGTTTCCTGTTGACTACCTCTAACCACCATCTCGTCTCAACCTAGTGCACGTAATCTCGAGTCACCTAGATTGGTGGCCACATTGCATTTTGGTCGATAGTATTCAATCTGCACTAAGAAGGACCTGACACACATGACATTCATCACCACCTAGTGATCAACCAATTGTAAGTACATCTCAGTCCTACAGGAGGTCAGTTGCGGCCCAGATTGCTCAGCCGTAACGTCTCTGACTGCGAAGCTGGATGAAATGGGATCGAATCCGCCAGGAAGCATCAGTTCCCTCAATATTATACGTACATCTTGCTGACGAGTGCCAAGTAGCAGGAAAATTACTAAAGTTTAAGACTCCAGATACATCTTCATGATGAGTGGATACTAAGATCTAAAGTTTACTACTGATTTCCTCCCTCTAGAAACGAATTAAGTGTTTAATTAAGCTAATAACAGTTCAATTGGTATATAACCAATATATCCGTCTTTTTGATAGATGTATTAGAATTTGTTTGAATAATATGAGAATGGCTTTAACTGACGACACTGAGAACAGTTAATATCGCGTTTAGATTACTATAATTCGAACCCTTCAATCGATATATTCGCGATAACAGTGAAAATGTTTCGCTACATTTCAATGTCAATATACAGCAACCCGCTTCCTTTCTAATCCTGAAAACTTCATTACACAAGTCTTATAAGGAAGATTAATTTGGTAAAGACCAAATAAGATAAATTCGAGTTCAATCAACTATATACCGATTACATACAGTGATTATTAGTTAAACTAAGCTAACACTACATAAATGATAAATCACTCTGAATTAGTTGACACAAATGAATATCCACTTGAAGTTACATGATAGAATATTCATACTTCGTATCTGGGGACTTAATATTCCCATCATAAATATATTTATAGATACTGATGATTTTCAGTCATACGAGTTATCCAATAATATAAACCTTAAACAATAAATTGTATATTCATTACCTATTTTATTTTTGCCTGGAGCCCTTCTAGGGCTACTTCTGTTCCCAAACTCGGATAAAGAAAGAGAGTTGAGAATAGGGTTACCAACCCCATCCTGTAAAAAAACCCTTGCTAACAAAACATTTTGCATGTGTATATCTAGAAAGATTGTTTCTTAAATGAAACTATACCAATAATTTATAAATGAGTTATACTTAGTTAATTGTTCAACAAACTCCGCCTGGAGCCCCACTGGAGCTACTGCCGGTCCCAAACCCGGATAAAGCAGGAGGGTTGGGCACGGGGTTAGCGACCCCACCCCGTAGAAAACTAACTCGCCAAAAAACGCTAACCGGAAAAAATTATTCAAATCATTGATCAAAACAGCTATATAAAAAAATTTTGAACTATGTGAAAAACCAAGCATTCCAAGGTAAAACCAAACTAATTAAAACATTGATTAACCTAATAGTACAAAAAATCTGGCCGGTGTTTGGATTATTTTTCTATGGAATAAATGATTACTTATTAGTTATTTTAATCAGTAATACCTGTAGTGATACAAGAGTCAATAATTCCCAAGAGTACTTTTCTGTTTAACCAAGCATCAGGAATTCGGCTTTCATCATGAGGCGTCATAATTCTTCTAAATGAAGACCTTCTGACTCCCGGGGCAGAGTTTAAAAGGTTTGAATAATTTTTTTCTGGTTAGCGTTTTTTTTAGCGAGTTAGTTTTCTATGGGATGAGGACGCTAACCCCATGCCCAACAACGTACTGTGGGAGAGAACAAACCAGATCCCAGTGGAGGAAGAAATCAGGAAGAAGCTCTGGAAGTGGATAGGACACACATTGAGGAAAGCACCCAACTGCGTCACAAGACAAGCCCTCACATGGAATCCTCAAGGCCAAAGGAAAAGAGGAAGACCAAAGAACACATTACGCCGAGAAATGGAGATAGACATGAGAAAAATGAACAAGAATTGGATGGAACTAGAAAAGAAGGCCCAGGACAGAGTGGGTTGGAGAATGCTGGTCAGCGGCCTATGCTCCATTGGGAGTAACAGGCGGAAGTAAGTAAGCATCAGGACCTGAATAACTTTTCTCATTTAATTATATGTCGGAAACAATCAGCTATAATATTCATTTTCAAAGAAATTGTAGTTTTCTAAAAGTTTGACATATTAGTAACCAAAAATCAAAGTGGAGCAAGTGATTTGTTTTAGCATGTAACCTGATGTTTGAATTCAGAGGACCGCAAAATCGTAAACCTATCATAATTATTATAAATCATTATTCTCATAAAAGTTGTATATTAACATAAGAACCTTACTTATTGTCTCAATGCCAACAGTATTACCTAACTGATCAACCCCTAGCAAAATAGGAAGGAGTCAAGACTTGTAACCAACAGATTGAATCTCCCGACCTTCTATGCCTTAAATATTCGCTATTATTCTATCCTTAAACATAATGTTGATAACTAGTCGTCAAAAACCACTATATTGAGTGTAAAATGCTTGGTGCCAGGAAACGTTATCATTGAGCATGACAGCCTATATTTCTTTAAAATATAAGTGTGTCCCGACAGGTGTTATTTGAATTTGCTTAAGTAATAGTTTAATGGCAAAATAGTCAGAAATTTCGAATTAACCATCTTCAATAAGCAAATTGAAACCAATATATTACAAGGCTAATGGATAGTTTGCTAACTATGTGCTCCATGTATTCTTGTCTGCCTTTACCTACTTGCTAAATTCAATGAGAAGAACCCTTCCCTGGACTTATTCTAAAAGATTTACACCTCTATACCGAACGAGCTATTAACAAGACCAGAGATTTATTTTAGGTAACCACATAATAGTATTCGCCCATTGATTTGTTAGAATTTATAGAGTCGACAAAAGAAATAGATCTAGCAAGCTAAATAAAGCCGTTGTTATTATCTTATAGACCTTTGTCTCGCTAGAAGTATTTTTTAACTCAACATACGTACTGTCAAGATTTATTTGACTAACTTTTACTCATGTATGATGGTTAATATTTTTAGCTGAGAATTCACTGTAAATTAGACCTAGTCTTCTCCGCAGTTTTCAGAATAATCAAAATATCGCGGTACTGTAGTGAAGAACACAGATGAGGACAACCGAATTATATTTAATACATTACAGTTACTTGGTAAAATAGAAAAACCATACTATAATACTTAATTTGCAAAATGTTCAATAATTGTCCCCGACTTCACCGTTCATGCATTTCCATACTAATTGCTTTCTATTACCGTTCTTCCTTTGCTGATCTTCTCAATCTTCTGCTGCCCGACATTACATTCCTGACTCGTGTTATATACTACTTATGTCCATATAAGTAACACACATCACAGTACTTTTGGTTGAAGAACTCAAATTACAATTACTGAGTCATGAGTATTAACATTGTCCCACCTAATTTAATCTGGGTAATTAAGTAGTACCACTAACCTTCACATACAAAGCGCAGGTCGAAATAAAGTACTTGATTAATATGTCAAGTTTATTAATTGGGTTATTTTTGGGAAAAAAATCTCACTAAATACTGATATAAAAACTTGCAAGTGATCCTAGTGGTCAGTAATGGACCCCCAAGTTTCCAGATGATTTTTCTTATCAACATAAAATCAAAGAGACAGACTTCCTGGAAAGTTTACATTCAGTAAAAACTGAAATACAGAAAGACTTATTGTTTCTTTCTTATGAGATATGACAGATTTTAATATTGTTCACTTAAGAAAAGCTAATTCCTAAATACTCTCAAGACAGAAATGAATGAAGAACATTGGATCATCTTAAAGTAACCTATTTAAAACACATTTGAAAACTCAGTGTATAACTTTCATCAATTAGAGTTTCAATTTAATAGTATTATCAAAAGTTATCATTATTACCATAAATAACAAACAGAATGTTAATCGATCGAACAGCAGGATTTAATGATGACTCCTCACGAAAATGGATCTAGTGACTTTTTACACTCACTGACAGTATTATACTGAAATGCTGGGCACACAATCATAATGATATTCTTTTTTTAAAATGAGATAATACACGTTTTTATATGGAAAAGTATTAACATCATAACCATGATTTGTTAGATCATTGAAAATCCAGTAAGTTTAGGACTTTGATCTTCTATCATTTGTTTGTTCTTTGTGAGAACAATATGTGTTCTCTGTTTGCAGTTTTTAAAAATAACCTGGTACTGAAATCAAACTATACATTATTCTTAATAAATAAAGTAAAGAGATGGCATGTATATAGAATAATCATAGTTTTATATTGCTCACAGAACTATCAGAAATGCATTTGCCATTAACCAAATTTATAAAACTACACTGAGATTTATTAATATACTATAACTAAACAACCGTTGAAAATAAATG